GCTTTGCAATTCCATGGTAAAATCCGCACGAACTTTCTAAGGCATATTCCCATTGCGGAACAACTTTAAGTCCCAAGTAAAACTCCCCAGGACAAGTTGTCAATCGAAGGTGTGTCTAATAGAACGCATTTGAATGTCATTACTTCATTCTGATAACCAGCACAGAAGAGTAATCACAGGGAGCGCCTAAAGTGGGAGAGGCATAGTGTGACAGCCTCTTAATTCTTTTATGACTTGATCGCTACGACAGTAATGTGAGTCGATTCTGCTTGCACAATCTATGTTACTAATCTTCCAGTGCTTATGTGTGCCCACAAAACGAGTCTATTGACGGCTTTGTGGTGACCTTACACGCCAGAGCTTAATTTGATAGACAGAGTAAACACGCACACACACACACGTGTGATACATATTAAACATTTTTGATTTGTACAAAAGGAGAAGCGTGAATTCGAAATCACGCATTTGGTCTTTTTAAGTGTCAAAATGTCATTCAATTAAATGTGACATTTTGAGGGCAAGTTATTTCACAATAAATATGAAAAGGAGGCGATTAGATGGGTGGATGAGTGTGAGTGAGTAAGCGAGCAGCCAGGAACGGATTTACCGAAGCCGTTAGTTGTGGACTCGGCTTCAAGAGAGGGCGGAGGTGTGAGAGAAATGTGAAATGTCCACAAGAGTGATTAATGCGCGCGGGAAGTGTAGACGCATTTCCTTATTCAAATCGGACCACCAACTATGGAAAACATCCAGCTGCACTTTGTAGCCCTAAATATCAACTTTCCCTCAAATTCTACTTCACGAAAGAAGCCATCTTGGAGCTTTCCTCTAAGAAAGGGGAAATTATCCCTGATGCTCTTGATTAGTTACCGGTTTTTACCTGAAATAGTGTACAGAAGGATAGATTTCAGCCCAAATCAAAGTTCCTTTTCAAATAAAAAAACTTCTGCAGAACAATAAAGATGTGGAGATTCCAGAATCCATCAGCTGAGTGGGGACTAAAGTGCTGGCTGGAGACCATTGTGTCAATCATAGGGAACAATGAAATGGAAGTGTTTGCTGCCAGCTTCACGCATCGGTGACACCCCAACTTCCTCACCTAAGTCCGAAGTCACAAGTATATTCCATGCGCTTTTGTTGTTGTACAAGTGATTACACCAAACCGTACCGCAAACAGTGTGTTTGTATGATGTTCCCGATCTGGAGTTAACTACCAGAACTCAAAGTGACGCGCGTTTGAGCGGCCGTGACGCTCAATTTTCCTTGGGGGCCGGGTCGAGTAACAATTGTGTTGACAAACGAGCACGAGCAATTATGACTGGACATCTAAGTAGTAGCTGCTATGGACAGAAAATACTGATACGCAACTTTGTGGGACAAACCATTAAGGATTAATTAATCATGAATTACTGAAGAAGGAGTAGCATGAGGAATTTGAAATATTTTTAATATTAACGTAGTTGTGAGCGAACACAAATGCGTAAAAAGTGGACAGGATTTGTTGCTTTGTGTGCTGAACCAGGAGCATTTTCCGCCTCTCCCATGAACCGGCCTCCACCTCAGTGGTATGTAGCTCGGCTCCTCAAATACGGAAGAGTAGCTCAGTTGTTACAGGTTACTATGAATGCTGAATCAATCACCTCAATGGTGAATGCTTCTTTCTAGGACCAGAAACTTGTTGAAGTCACGATACCCTCACTCCGACTGGACCGGGTGAACCAATATTTGGCCAAGTTTACCACTGATGTTGGATGAAGTTTTTGTGAGAAAGCATTGAAAAAACTCCTATTTTGATAATGTAAATAAATGATAGGGACAAGCGTGCTATTATCATCACCTACACCACAAACAAGCAAAGCAAAACCGGTTAAGACGAGGTTCTTTCAAAGAGAGGTGAGCAGAGACACTGGACAGAACTTACTGCGACCGCCGTTTCACTAGGCGTGGTAGGATGACGCTAGAAATGGAGGATTTAGAAGAGGTAGATAGGGAAACTAAATTAAAAAATTGGCAGTTTTATTTTCCGACCGCTTCTCGACAGCAGTTCCACGCAGGCATTGAATAGGGACAGGACTACATGGGGTCTTTCTATATTATTTTTCCCATCTCAATAGCTGTTCCCAAGTCTGAGATTCTAAAAGTTGTCTTGGCTTCTTTTGCAGCTCATTTCGGTCGAATTTTAACACAAAGAAGTGCTGGGTAAACAACTTGTAACCATTTGGACGAAATGATACAAGTGGACAATGCAATATCATTCCTCCTAAAATCTTTGGAAAGAGGGGGTGGGACTTACTTGTTTGCCTCTGTGGGGCACATTGGTGCGCCGAATTCGATTGAGGGATTCCAGGAAGGTGATGAACCTGTCACAAAGCTTTTCGTATCCGATCGACGCCAACGGAGTCTCGTAAACATCGCAACGCACCCTCGTCCCCTTGGCCTTCGCCCTAGAAGACATTTATTTGTGAGAAAGCAAGCAAAAAGTCTACAGATTTTAAGGCTATTTTTATTCTCCCCCTTCTCCCAAATGTGCTTTAGAAACTGGCTGTTTATGGGTGTAGCCAAGATGATATAGTGGTCCCAGAGAGGACTATCAACAGCCTCTCCATCCTCCTCTGTGTTTACAAAAAAAGTACTCCTGATCTCACGTGCCCCACAATACCTTCAGAGGCAACTCGGACGCTTTTACTCATCACAAAGAACGTGGTTACTTCCACCAATACCTCAAACAAAACCAATGGCTAAACCCGTCCAGTTATTGCTGTACAATAATGGCATTTACAGTGGAGGGCTGAACTTGTGGAGTCTATAGATGGAGAAACGGACCAAGGTCTGGACTGAACAAGTTTAAAGGGTTCACCAAGCGAGGTAATAACAATATCTCTGCGGAAACAATGAACGGGTGAAATATGAAGATCTGAAAATTATTCAAGTGGTAAGGCTTGAAAAAACCCCGATAGACGGGTGAGTAGAATTGCAGTTGCAATGGAAAGAATAAATAAAATCATAGAGAAAGGTAGAAAAGCTACATTGCATAATAGATTAAGTCCATCGAGGCATCATTATTGTGGAATTCGGATTTGCAAGTTTTCTTACCGTGATGACGGTTTGGAGCAAGATTCATCACTGAGGACGTCGACATCAAGACGGTGGAAAAGTAGCAGAGCGGTATTTGTTATTACAGACACTTTCTTATCTTCTGCGATTAAGCCTGCATAGCACCTCCGCCTCTTAGTCTTCAGGCTCTTCAATGTGTTTGTATAATGCCGTTGAATAGGATCAACTGGTTTTTAAAACCAAAACCGAATATCTACGGAAGGCTTATTCAAATATTTTCCTGATTGATATAACTACGGTTACGATCTATAATTTCATAGTTCCATTTAAACGAGACAACCTGAGTACGCTAATAAAAGGTAGTAAAAACCCTAGCCCTCTAACCACCTCCGCTCCCATCTCACTATTATTAACCAACTGTCCGTCCACTCAATCACGCAATTGGTCACGTGATTGTCTAGGGCTAATGCAAAGGCGGTGGCCATAACTTGGAGCCCGGAGAAGACGTAGCATAAAGATGCAAATGAGATGGAAGCAGCATCCCCGTTCCATTCCATCCCGGCCCATACCATCAATCAGAGAACATCACAAATACTTCTCGAACATATTTTGACGGGTTTTCCAACTTCGGGAGATGTCGTATTTAAATTTGAACAAGATAAAACGAAAATAAGTGAAGCGCTTGTTTAATGCATTCCAAAAAAAAACTACACGGAACAAGAAAATTTATTTTTTTTTTCTTCCGGAATTCACAAATAGTGATATCAATTATGATAGGCTGGAGCCGGCATAGGAGGATGTTACTTCCCACATTCAATCGTGATGTCGAAACCTGTAACGCCTGCGAAATTTTGGTGATCTTATTAGAAGTCCCGGCCAATCCGAAATCGACTAAGCTTTCAATGCTCGGAAAAAAGGGCAAAATAATTACCCTGAAGTGTGAAAAGCACATTTAGCATCAATAAAAGGGCATGAAAACTGCACAATTTATCAACTTTTCCAAAAGAGAATTCGGGCCATTGATCCGTGAAATTGAGTATACAATGAGTTGCAAATTTCATTTTCGATGTCAGTAGTCAAAACGACCTCGAGATTTGCAGGGGTGGGCTTTTAGCACGATTAAAAGGAGGATCCCATGTCTCAGAAACGCCCTCTAGACGCGCACACGCATGCAGGACGACGGTTGGAGCAAAGCGTGACAGTTTTATGACTTGCATAAACAAAAGAAAAACCGAGACTAACGCACAGCTAGCATTTCGATGCGATTATGTCAGTGGACTGAAAAGGAGTCATCTGCAACGTATTTAGAGAGCCTCGGGAATTTCGTACCTGGTGGACGATTTTGCACACTTTTTTACTGCTTTCTCTTGAATGCCTTATGGAGATGACGCACTGGATACTGGAAACATCTACCTTTTTACAACACAACTTGTAACAAGGTCGATTCGTATCGAGCTAGACAGGTCATGTCTGAGGCGTGGTCACGTGTCGTAAAGAAGAGAACACAAACCAATAGTGGCATTTTTAGTGAAGAGCGCAGGTGCAAATTTAAGTGACCTCTACATTGGGGTCATTAAGAGGAGTGAGTAATGTCCACTGTAGGCCCTTTGTTCGCGGGGGAATTGAGTGCTCTAAACGCCGACATACCCCAGTAACTCTGCCACAAATGCGTCTAAAGCAAATGGTTTAATGCGTATAAAATGAACAAAACAAAAATTCTAATTTGATTAAACAAGCGGAATTTAGAGTCATAAATCGGATACCTTAAAGGCGGACATTGTCGAATTCATGAATGGAAGAACGAAATTAACTCCCCAACGGAATGGATATTCAATGTCGGCTAAGCCGAGTAGAAGCACTTTAACTTCCTGTACTTTAATGGGAAAGTTCAAATTTCACGAAGGCAAGAATGTGGCCAAATGCTCTTTCGGGGTCAAGTTGGGAAAGTAGATTACAATTGAATATCAAATTCTGACGACTTGGTCCAAGAGCACCAACAATTCGTGCGTCATAAGAGAAGCGACTAAAACTCTTCGTTTTGGTTTTCGAGGCGCACTAAGGCTCCACCTTTGTACTTCTGCTGGGCGGCATGGCCGCTGGACCACGCCAGTAGTCCCCCAGCCCTTCTGCCCTACTGTTATGACCTCCTATGGCCTCAGGAAGGACTAAGACCGCTAAAGCATCGTTTGACCTAGATTTTCATTATCCCTCTACTGCCTACTTTCCACTACATGGAGAGCCAGTAAAATTGGTGCAGTGGAATTATTACCAATCTAACTGAATGGTTTACTGCGCGGGTATTTTCAGTCAACCGTCATTTAGCCTCCATCCTAGTGGCATGAAGCTCAACCCTCCCCACCCATTCCTCTAATTCAGTTCCCCAGCTCCTCCTCACATTTCAAGCAAAGTTACATTCACACTCGAATATCTCCTACTATAAAATTACAATCTCAATTGCACTGAAAGGACGCCACCCAAAAAGCGTCAGAAGGTAATGGGATGTATGGCTGAATCTTGTGGAGCTGCTACATCATGGCCACCAACAGGGCGTGGTCCAAATTGAACTAGCTGAAGTCGTCAGTAAGCAAATTACTTACAAACATGTGATGGAAAGCGAGTCAACGCTTAATGCCCTCCAAAATTGCCAAAAATAGACAATGACTTACCAAAAATGTGGACGATCAGCGTTAGAGTGGTACTGAAGCGAGAGCGCAGGTCCGAGATACTATCTTTTACTCGCTATTCTACTAAATTGTTACCACAAAAGCATTCCACCTTTGAGCTATGAATCCATTCATTGCAACCTATCAACGGTTAGAATTCGGAGGACTTTTCAACATAGCAGATCCAAGCCTACATCTCACGGTTAGTTTCGGTTAACTCAAAGACCCAAATGGTGGCTGAAACACTGAAACGGTCACAGGGAGTGCACCGAAGATGAGGTTCAAAATCTAACAACTGCTGCGTAGTAGAATGCTACCGAGTGATTGGAAAAAAGTTCGTGGTGGTGCATTTTAACATCCGCCAAGTAAAATAACATATCGCGCCTCCCTGACACCACTTCGTCCTCACATCAGGCCCCTCCCTACTCTGCGTGTCTGTAGGTATGTGGATGTGTGCGCGCATTGATGTGGTGGACCGCAGACGCAATGATCACCGTAACTGTTCCACTTAATGAAGTCCAAACAACCTCTACGACTGAGATTTACGCATTCAACCCAACACAACTCAAAGGTTTGCTAGAAAACAATCCTCCGGTAATAGTCGAGAGAAAGCCCCCTTCCTATTCTTACAAAGCGTCATAATGCGACGCAAGACCTCATACCACCATAAACTTGACCAGCGAGACAGTTCGCACCGTACAATGAAATGAAATAGGTTGGGATGAGATGGGATGTAATGTGATGGGGGTGGGTTGTTACCTTTTTCCCTCCTCTACTCCCTTCTTCCCTATCTTTATCCTCATCAAATGTATCATGCCTTCTGATGATGTTCGTCTAAGCGTCAAGTGACGATCATCACCTTTTTTTGGTAGAACGCATTGAACATCTACATGATCGAATGCAAAAAAACGGGGATGATTAGGACTAGCAAAATCTCTTGGATTTACTTTGTAGAAATGCATTTCATCTAGTAATTTATAGTACGTAGGTCCTTTCAAATATCCCACGAAATACTCCCCACAACACTAGCATAGAATTCAGTTATTCGTCTTCGTCCCCTTCAGTATACACATAATAAAACCACTTCCACATCAGCACGTCTTATGAAGCCCTGAAGGACAACTCGGACGCTGTGATGAGATGCAACAGCTGTGCAAAACTCAGCTGTCGTGGTGGCGCTGGCAACGGAGTAGGAAGGTTCCGAAAACCCGCCACACCCGTTTTGACGTGACCCATCTGCACTGCTACAGAGGTTCGCCATCTGCATTTAAACAGTTGAGGTGTCAGAAAATGCCCACTCATCAAGACTGAGGACACTAATGGCCATTTGGCCTAGCTTACCTAAAAAGAAGAGCAGTTAAAATCACCATCGATGACAGCGTATCATAGCAACGTGGTAATAGAAATACCCCATCTTCACACCGACTATAGATTGGTGGAGAAATATTCAGTTGCTTAGAATAGAATCGCAACTTTTCAGGCAAATATATGGGCAAAAGCACTTGATATTTATAAAACGTTCCACGCCGATAGCAATGGTCGCCCAGTCCTTCTGTGGGTTCATGACAGAACTGCTTAGGGGATAACTCGAGAGCCACGGTGGCAGCGCGTAGGAGCATGCGCAAAAATTCTCACTTATTGAGAAGGGTATGACCCCTGCGTCCTGATGCTCCAAAGGTGGTTTATGTCTGGATGGACCGGACGGTTGTCTCCACTCAATAGAATCTGTGGAGACCACTAAAAGCAATATTTACTACTTAGTAATCATCCCGCCTCTGAAGTTAGAGAAAAAGCCAATAATGAATTAATATCCAGAAGGAATGCATCAACGTTGACCGAAACCCAAACACATACCACCTCCCCATACAGTAGGAAGCTGAGAACAACCCAGGCAGGCGATCGGGCGACACAAGTCCGAACAGCGTGGTAATAAAAGGGTTTCGCAATTTTGGATGAGCTGCTTTTAAACAATTGTTTCTACGAAAAGCAATCCCAAGGGCAAATCCTTTCAAATCAGTTCACCGACAAAGTAAGCGACAAATGAAGGGCGCCGCTAATTTAAGAACGGAGTGAAATTGTTTCGATGAATTCAGAAGCCTCCTCCCCGTGGCTTGAAGTCGATGTACGATTTTCGTTTCTCTTTTGCAGTTAGTTTGACACCACTCAACCAGGGCTCGGACAGCCAGCACAGAATGAACAGCCACAAAGGAGCACACAGGGAAAGATACCAAGAATGAATCGAGCCTCTTGTGGGAGGCTTTACGACGTCCCACGATGGTGGTACGGAGCTCCCCACTCCGCCCCCTAGTCCTGCTTGTTAACGATAAATAAACTTCCAGACTTCCCACATACGACTTAAAGTTTTTCCTTAAGTTATGGGGCAGAACTTACTAGTTAAAGGCTTCAAATGGTTGATTTTAGCCTTGAACATGAACTGATATCGAAAGTTAGTCACAGAGGAAGAGAACCGACATAAGCTACTGTTTTAGTAATAGCTAGATAATAAAATATAGCTTCTCAAATGGAAGCAAAAGGCTTTGACATACTCTCGCAGACTGTCCGCAAGTCGTCGTGTCGTGTCCTTGAAAGCAGGCAAAATGAGGAAGCGACTGCGCCAGAATTTGAGAGCCTAGGAGACAACAAAAGTACATTTTAGCAGCCTTTTGAATTCGGTGGGGTTTTAACTGGAAAATAATCAAAAGGTATCAAGATCCGATTATTGTTTAATTCTTCGTTTCGGTTTTACGAATACTTAAGGCTCCGCCTTTGTACTCCCGTTGGGCGGAACAGTCTCTGGACCATGCCAGTAGGCCCTCCCCCAGTTCTTCTGTACGTCAGCAATACATGCTTTGCTCGAGCATTGTCTTCTTCCGTCCTAAGAGAAGCCTCGAGAAGCTACATTGGTGGCAGCGGAAAGCGAACCTGATCTTAAAGGACAACTGACCTCATTTCTACTGCTGAATGGTAAGTCTTATTGGGACAGAGGAAGTGCGTAGGCTACGGATGGGAGAACCGGTGACGACTTCTAACAGCAGAGCTGACACTGACGTCTACCCTCGGCAGCTATCCCAGTTTTGTGGTCTGCAGGAAAGCTATTAACAACTGAGGCGACGCTAGCCATGAGCCATCTGGAAAAGCTTGCTACAGAGCTGTCTAAGGCGCCTGTTTGAAGATGTCAAGTAAGTGAACACGCTGGATAGAACCCAGATAGATGTGGCTGGGCAGCACTAAAGTGGGAACAACGTGGCAAGGAGGAACAGACGCGAAACCTTAGCCCCACGAAGGTATTTTAGTCTCCGATCTTTACCAAATGGCTGTGCTTTAAAGCCAGTGTTCTTACGACTAGCGATGGACAAACAGGATGGCCAGCACATCCTCCCTTCCCCCACTACACTTTCTGAACAGGAGGAAACTCCAGATCCAGTGAAATTGGCAAGAGGGACCGGTGATGTTGTACGCCAATTCGATGACTGGCGCGGAAGGTTCATAGGTGTTTTTCCTATGGCACCGGCTACGTTGTGATAGCCGACGCAGGAGGTTGACCAAGGAGAGCGCCGGACACGACGCTCAAAGAAGGACACCTAGGGGTCCGAACTTGTGCTTCCACTGGGCGGCATGGCCTCCAGGACATCCCAGTAGCCCTCATGGCTTCTCTACGTCGGCATTACATATTCTGCCCAAGTATTAGGCCTTCTTTCGTCTTCAGGGAAGTCTCAGGGCACTGCATATACACACAAATAGATGGAGCCGAGAGCCCCCTCTACCAGATATTTAAAATGCATGGCAATATCAGATCAGACAAAAACGGTCAAACTTGACACTAGAGGCCGAAATATGTGGATTATAGGGGAAGTTTAAGTGCTGACCCAGGTGGTAGTAATGTTTGGTTATGAGAATTAGAAGTTTAAAGGTCACGCCTATGTCACAAGGGAGTGCCTAGACCGCGCTGTTGGAAGAGCATACATACAGATATATGAATATTTTTGTCACAAAGGACATCTTAGAAACAGCCTGCATAGCACAATCGCTCCTAGCTCGCCTGATATGATGCCCTCTTCAAACACTCGTTAGGAGCTACCAAAATACCTCCTACTAAAAGCGTTACTTCGAATATGGAAAAAAATGCTATGTATCCATCATTTGAGATCCTAGTTTTCAACTTTAATTAACTTTTACCCTACTGATGTGAAAATATGTGAGCCACAACATTAAGGATGGGTAAAATTTTGGCCCTGCGAAGACTCCTAACTGAAATGCTATGTATTCAGTCTAACCTGAAAGGTTTGTGGATTTAATCTCAGAGCTTATTCATGCGTACACCTACACACACACAGAGAGAGAAAAATAACTTTTCAGTGGGGTATACTGCTAAACAGTAAAAATAACAAATTCAGTGCACCGAATGCACCTCACAATGCTAGCATGAAATGAACCACGGGTAAGATGAATTTCATCATTTGCGACTAGCAAAACGGTCGAAGAGGGCATTTCGTGTACTAGAAGGCCTAGAGAACACAATAAACTACTATTACTAGATTTTATCCCCAAAGCGCAGACTTCTTATTGGATGGTTTTTGATCGACTCTTTCAGGTCTTCTACAAACTGTCCACTTCACCCATGCTACGAGTTACCCAAAAAATAGTGCATTTGCATGTATTGTAACATCGTAACAGTACTTTTTGTTTTAATCCTGAAGATCACAAGGCGGAAGTCTAAAGTTTGAAAGGGACGTGAAGTCGCTTGTACGTTCCTTGTTCTGGACGGCCAACACTCCTCGGCACTTGCCAGAGTGTGGTTTACCAATGCAACGTTTTTAATATAAAAGAAAACCCGACTTCCAAGAAGAAAAGGAATTACACGGTCAGTACGCAAATCTAGAATGCCCTGAAGGTAACAGCAGATGTGGTGAGATATGCACAACACCATTTCTTCCTCGTGCTTCCTTCACTAGAGCTTCAAAAAGCGATTGACGCTACACTAGGAAATGCCAGAAAAGAAAGACGATCGATGTGGCCGATTGAAACAAAGGAGGCTCACACAGCAGAAAGGTCATTGAAAACGTGTTGACCTATGACAGATGCGCCGATCTCAACTTTTGTATCATGATAAGCATTAGGGCGAGATCAAAGCTGAACAGATGCAAATCGTCCATAAAATAAAGGACCACCAAAATTATCCGAAGGAACTGTGAAAGACTAATAACTCTCCATGTTATAAAGACTCGGGTATAATTAGAACAGTATTGGATTGATAAAGGGCAAGAATAAATGAAATCAGTAGATAGATCCAAGAAACCACTTTATGCCCCTTTATTCTATTCTACGGCTTTGGATTGAGAGAAAATACTCCTACGAACGGTGATTGGTGCGTGAAATACGCTTGCTGTGGAAGATATTCCCCATAAAGCATCCTGCAAACAAAACGTAGCAGATGGAGACTCATCGAAAACTAAGATGCATGACTATTATCCAATTCAAAAGTTCAAGAGATCACGTTTTGATTTCGTTTCTGTCCTACAGTAGATTGATATTTACTTTGATACTGTTCCGACGGGGGACAACGCCCAAAACACGACAGCAAAGGCGAAAAACTTCATCTGCTAGTCTACCAACTCTTCTAAATGCTCGCAAAGGATATTTTAAAACTCAGACCCCTTTCGAGATAATTCAGAAGCTAAAGACCCGCAAAAATTAAAAGAAGGCTTCGATTACGATAGATAATGGGCTCTGGGTGAACGCACTGTACTTGTGTGTGTGTGTGTGTGTAGAGAAGCCACTTTTTCAGCTCCTCCTACCTAAATAATAACTATACGGGTATGCTGTTTTACGCGTTAAAAACCACCTCTGAGGTACAAAATTATCCATTCAGAGATAAAATACACACAGAGAGGAAATGTCTACAAGCGTTAACCTGAATGTGTGCATATGGTTATAAGCCCTAAGGCAAAAAAAGAAATAACGTTTTGAAAAGCTCCCTTGTCACTTCTGTGTGGATAAATAAGGTGAAATACATCCTGACAGCCTTTTCAATTTCTTAAGGAAGTAAAAAAAGCTTACTAGAGGTGGAGAAACATCGTTTCGTTATTTGGATTTCAGTTCCATTTCCGACTTTTAAATGGAATGTTAAAATAAAACGCCGCCCATCACCGAACAATATCTCGCTCCAGTGGACTGTAAAACCTGCATTCGTGCGACTGTTAAACCACTTCATTAAGT